ACCCTCATTCGCTGTATGCTGTGGCTCATGGAAAAGGAGAAGAGATAAAAAGATAATAACAGGAATGCATGGAGAAGATGACTACAATAGACACAGGGTGAATATAGACAGTAAAACAGACAGGAGGTTGACAAAAAATAGACAGATTCATACATGCACAAATAGACAATATGCAGCTAACATGACAGACAGACAGCTGACTGACTGGTTCACATTAGACAATCAGGCAGACACACGCCAACAACGGATAAGACAGACAGATTTGACGACACAAAGAGTACAGACGGGCTTACAGTCAAACACCACGCAGACGAACAGACAGTTGGGATGGTAATAGACAGGACGGATAGACTTGAGACAGATTAGAAGGCATTTATAAACAAGAATAAAACCAAATTGACCATAGCTGCGTCGGTGAGGGTAGGAGGTCTTACATCCACCATGCGTAAATAATAAGACGCATTGAAAACAACACCCTCGCGCGGAAAGAACATCGATGGTAGGTTAGTCATGTGAGATGGCCTAAAACCGACTAACGTAGATGATGACTATGATGACTTAACACAGGTGATGACTTAAGCAGATGGTGACTAATATAACCAGAATCAAGGTCAATTCTCTTAATAATATAATTTATCTTGGAATGATCATCGGTGATTCATAATATTTTTTTTTTTTATGATTTAACCTCCTTATGGCGAATATTTCTTTAATTTATTATTCTAACCTTTTATTCTATTCCTTCTTATAGTATATTAGATATTGTAAGTATCACGACCACGACCATGATTATAGCACCAAGACCATGATTATTACAACCACGAGCATGATTTATAAATAACTATTATAAATAACCTCGACCATGATTATAACAACCACGACTATGATTATAACAACCACGACTATGATTATAACAACCACGACCATGATTATAACAACCACGACCATGATTATAACAACCACGACCATGATTATAACAACCACGACCATGATTATAACAACCTAACCTAACCTAACCTAACAACCACGACAATGATCATAACCTCGACAATGATTATAACAACCACGACGATTATTATAACACCCACGACCATGATTATAACAACTACGACCATGACCATAACCACGACCATGATTATAACAAACACGACTATGATTGTAACAACCACGACCATAATAATAACAACCTCGACCATGATTATAACAACCACGACTATGATTATAACAATCCACGACTATGATTATAACAACCACGACCATGATTATAACAACCACGATTCGATTATAACAACCACGATCATGATTATAAACGATCATGATTATAACAACCACGATCATGATTATAACCACACCCATGATTATAACAACCCGACCATGATTATAACAACCACGACCATGATTATAACAAGCACGACCATGATTATAACAAGCACGACCATGATTATAACACACGATCATGATTATAACCGCACCCATGATTATAATAACCACGACTATGATTATAATAACCACGACCATGATTATAACAACCACGACCATGATTATAACAACAACGACTATGATCATAACCGACAATGATCATAACAACCACGACTATGATTATAACAACCACGACGATGGTTATAACATCCACGACCTGATTATAACAACCACGACCATGATTATAACAGCCACGACTATGATTATAACAACCACGACCATGATTAAAACAACCACGACTATGATTATAACAACCACGACCATAATTATAACAACCGACCATGATTATAACACGACCGTGAGTTATCAAACCGACTATGATTATAACTGACCATGATTATAACAACCACGACTATGTTTATAACAACCGACCATGATTATAACAACCCATTTATGATTATGGCCGACTATGATTATAACACCTACGACCATGATTATAACACCTACGACCATGATTATAACAACCACGACTATGATTATAACACCCGTGATTATAACAACCACGACTATGATTATAACACCAACGACCATGATTATATCAACCACGATCATGATTATAACAAGCACGACCATGATTATAACACCCACGAACATGATTATAACGCAACGACCATGATTATATCAACCGACCGTTATAACCGACCATGATTATAACTCACGAACAGTTATAACAACCACGAAGCCAGTTATAACAACCGCGAGCCATGATTATAACAACCACGACCATGATTATAACAACGACCATGATTATAACAACACGACGCAGTTATACTTACGAACATGGTTATAACAACCGAACATGGTTATAACAACCATGACCGCAGTTATCTCATATACTATAGGAATAGCCGTGTGTCTGTGTGTGTGTCTGTTCTGGGCAGCCGAAACAGCACACTCGTTTTCATCAAACTTGGTGGAAAATCACTAAAAATTCTAATGAAGTGGAACAAACCTGGTCCATGTCGAAGAGTTTTCTTTAGGAAGGCATTAATTAACCATTTTATTTACGCTGGAAAACGATGTCGCTACGCTGCCAGCCAAGCACGAGCATTGGAACTTTCAAGCTTTGGTAAACTGTACCACCGGACTCGCCACCGGGCACAGTGCCATAATCCTTGCTCATGATTGAATACTTTATTCTGTATCATGCTAACAACACAGTATCTCCCTGGCCATCTTCACTACAGTATAGTTTAACTATTGGTTGAGGCCAAGTTCATGACTACAGTTGTATAAAATACTTGGTCTGGCAGCATCCTTGATACTGGCGTTCATAGATAATGTTACCAGAAGGATCGTCATCGGTGCGTGCAGGTTTAATGTTAGCTTCAACTGTGTTCAAGGAGGTGAGGAGGCGGCCAATGTGCCCGTTAAAGAGTACAGCGGCACCTAAGGTTGGCTCACCTACGTATACTCAAAGTATCTGTTCCATGATTTAGCGTAAATATGTGTTCTCTGTTACGTTACTTGACTTGACTGTGCATGCATCAAGCCCAGCAATAAAGTCGTAGTGTAAGGTCATGAATGTCATGAGAGACGATGTTTCTCATTGTTATTAAACGGAAAAACACGGTGATCACGGTGGCGTTAATATTCTGTGAAGGTCGGGCAAAAACACACCAGTTAAACTTATTGGAATGCCGCTGCCCGGGGGCAATGCTGTTAGATTGAGTCTGTATCCTGCTGGGGACGTGGGCGCATATGGTCGTTATACCACAAATTAAAGTGTCTTGTCATGAGACTAGTTTATATTATACAAATTAAATCGAAGAATGGTCAGTTGTGCAGGTCCATATATAACAGTGGCTGTGACTCAGATTGGCCAATATGTGCTGGCGGAGAGGGCCGTGCTTCGTGCTGCTGGTGGAGGGGGCCGTGCCTCTGTGCTGCTGGTGGAGGGAGGCCGTGCTTCGTGCTGCTGGTGGAGGGAGGGCCGTGCCTCGTGCTGCTGGTGGAGGGAGGGCCGTGCCTCGTGCTGCTGGTGGGGGGAGGGCCGTGCCTCGTGCTGCTGGTGGAGGTGCCGTGCCTCGTGCTGCTGGTGGAGGAGGGCCGTGCTCGTGCTGCTGGTGGAGGGGGCCGTGCCTCGTGCTGCTGGTGGAGGGGCCGTGCCTCGTGCTGCTGGTGGTGGAGGCCGGCCTCGTGCTGTGGTGTGGAGGTGCCGTGCCTCGTGCTGCTGGTGGTGGAGGGGAGGGCCGTGCCTCGTGGCTGCTGGTGGAGGAGTGCCGTGCCTCGTGCTGCTGGTGGAGGTGCCGTGCCTCGTGCTGCTGGTGGAGGGCCGTGCTGTCGTGTGCGGTGGAGGGTTGGGTGCCTCGTGTGCTGGTGGAGGGCCGTGCCTCGTGCTGTTAGTGGAGGGTTGGCTGTGCCTCGTGCTGGTGGAGGGCCGTGCCTCGTGCTGCTGGTGGAGGGTTGGCCGTGCCTCGTGCTGCTGGTGGAGGGCCGTGCCTCGTGCTGCTGGTGGAGGGTGGGCCGTGCCTCGTGCTGCTGGTGGTGGAGGGCCGTGCCTCGTGCTGCTGGTGGAGGGCCGTGCCTCGTGCTATGTGGAAGGGCCGTGCCTCGTGCTGCTGGTGGAGGTAGGCCGTACCTCGTGCTGCTGGTGGAGGGAGGGGTGCCTCTGCTGCTGGTGGAGGGCGTGCCTCTGTGCTGCTGGTGGAGGGAGGGCCGTGCCTCGTGCTGCTGGTGGAGGGAGGGCCGTGCCTCGTGCTGCTGGTGGAGGGAGTGCCGTGCCTCGTGCTGCTGGTGGAGGGCCGTGCCTCGTGCTGCTGGTGGAGGAGGGCCGTGCCTCGTGCTGCTGGTGGAGGGTGCGTGCCTCGTGCTGCTGGTGGAGGGGGTGCCGTGCCTCGTGCTGCTGGTGGAGGGGGCCGTGCCTCGTGCTGCTGGTGGAGGGTTGGCCGTGCCTCGTGCTGCTGGTGGAGGGGTCCGTGTCGTGCTGCTGGTGGAGGTTGGCTGTGCCTCGTGTTGCTGGTGGAGGGCCGTGCCTCGTGCTGCTGGTGGAGGGTTGGCCGTGCCTCGTGCTGCTGGTGGAGGGAGGCCGTGCCTCGTGCTGCTGGTGGAGGGTGGGCCGTGCCTCGTGCTGCTGTGGTGGAGGAGGGCCGTGCCTCGTGCTGTGCTGGTGGAGGGGGCCGTGCCTCGTGCTGCTGGTGGAGGGAGGCCGTGCCTCGTGCTGCTGGTGAAGGAGAGCGCGTGCCTCGTGCTGCTGGTGGAGGGTGGGCCGTGCCTCGTGCTGGTGGAAGTGCCGTGCCTCGTGCTGCTGTGGAGGGAGGGCCGTGCCTCGTGCTGCTGCTGAAGGGAGGCCGTGCCTCGTGCTCTTGCTGGTGGAGGGGAGGGCCGTGCTTCGTGCTGCTGGTGGAGGGAGGCCGTGCCTCGTGCTGCTGGTGGAGGAGGGCCGTGCCTCGTGCTGGTGGGGTGGGCCGTGCCTTGCTGCTGGTGGAGGGTGGGCGTGCCTCGTGCAGGTGGAGGGCCGTGCCTCGTGCTGCTGGTGGAGGGAGGGCCGTGCCTCGTGCTGCTGGTGGAGGGTGCCGTGCCTCGTGCTGCTGGTGGAGGGTGCCGTGCCTCGTGCTGCTGGTGGAGGAGGCCGTGCCTCGTGCTGCCTTGTGAAGGAGGCCGTGCCTCGTGCTGCTGGTGGAGGTAGGCCGCCTCGTGCTGCTGGTGGAGGCGTGCCTCGTGCCACTGGTGGAGGGAGGCTGGCCCTCGTGCTGCTGGTGGAGGGTGGGCCGTGCCTCGTGCTGCTGGTGGAGGAGGGCCGTGCCTCGTGCTGCTGGTGGAGGAGGGGCCGTGCCTCAGTGCTGCTGGTGGAGGGAAGGGCCGTTCCTCGCTGCTGGTGGAGGCCGTGCCTCATGCTGCTGGTGGAGGGGAGGGCCGTGCCTCGTGCTGCTGGTGGAGGAAGGGGCCGTGCCTCGTGCTCTCAGTGGAGGTGGGGCCGTGCCTCGTGCTGCTGGTGGAGGTGGGCCGTGTCTCGTGCTGCTGGTGGAGGCGTGCCTCGTGCTGCTGGTGGAGGAGGCCGTGCCTCTGTGCTGCTTGGTGGAGGAAGGCCGTTCCTCGTGCTGCTGGTGGGAGGCCGTGCCTCATGCTGCTGGTGGAGGGAGGGCCGTGCCTCGTGCTGCTGGTGGAGGAAGGGCCGTGCCTCGTGCTGCTGGTGGAGGAGGGCCGTGCCTCTGTGCTGCTGGTGGAGGGAGGGCCGTGCCTGTTGCTGCTCCCCCAACACAACTCTTAGCTCAGGTGACGGGGATTGTCCTAAAATTTCTTAATGCATCTTCAGAGTTTTATTATTATTATTATTATTATTATGTATTATTATTATTATTATTATTTTTTAGTATTATTATTATTAGTATTATTATCTTCATCATTATGATTAACAGTAGTAGTAGTCTTAGTTGTGTTGTAGTTGTTCCTGAGAATATTATTACCTTCTCAATATATCAAGTTGGTCTGTCAGTGCTGATGGTATAGTCGTGTGGTGTGAAGATTTGTTGCCCTGATAAATGTTTTAAGCTGTTGTTCTCTCACATTTTCAGGTTAAGATTCTGAGGTCACTTCTGGCAAATAATATTTTCATTAATTGTTTATTTTTTCTTAATTATTGAGTCTAAGGTCCGGAAGCATGAAAATACATTAATTTTATTGTGTTTGAAAATTACCGCTGAAAACACTTTAATTTTGTTCAGTGTACCGTATTCCTGGTTACCGATGGTGTGTATGATATTATTATTGTTGTTGCGTGCGTGCGTGCGTGTGTGGTGTGTGTGTGTGCGTGCGCTTTAAACCTGGATATATACACATTAAAGAATTCCTCCACTCAATACCACCACCGGGACCTGGCGAGGAATATCACCACTACCGTATGTTATTACCAAGGATACAACAACCCGTCTAGCAGTGTGATAATTAAACCTCCACCAGCTTTCTCAAGGTGACGACACCCATTATTATTATTATGCTTATTATGCCTATTATAATATTGTTACTATTTTACCATTTTGCATGGAGTTCACTGGGGCGGAGTACAGCGCATGACTCCGCCACCAATCTGGAAGGTTTGTGGGATGGTGGATGTTAATGGGTGAGGCACAGGGTAACTCTCCTGTCTCTGAGTTCAAAGGTCACAGCAGGTCAGCCCATAACGTATAAACCTGGGTTTAATACACATACTATACGACGACTGCTATGACTGGCTATAGTATAATACAAACAGTGTTATCATATTCAGTTATATTCAAGCGTGGTTCAGTTAATTGATTAAACTTTGTTTTGGAATATATTGCAAGTGGTTGATTACTAAAAGGTTGAGGAATAACACCTTTTTGCTTGGGAAGGCTGGGGGAGGGATGTTGATTTTCTGTTGGTTAATATTGCGGTGTTAATAATAATAATGAGTGATAATGATGGTTGTTGTTTTTCATCGTATTATTATTAAATCATTGTTATTATCAGATGGTTGTGTTATACGATAGAAACAGGGAGACAAACTTGCTGGAGCATACAGACGGGAAGAGGCAAGCTAAAAATGACAGGACTAAAAAATGAGGCTAAACAGACTCAGATAAACTGAAGGTGACAGATAGAGAGAAGCGAAGGCAGAGACAAGCGAAGACTCAGAACAAACAAAACAAACAGACAACAAAAGCAGAGGGGCAGACAAACAAACAAAGAGAGATGGTAATAGAGACAGATAATACTAAAGTGAAAGTTGAAGTTTGGGCAGAGAGAGTTATTGTTTTTAGAGGTAAGCTTTATAAGAAGCTCATACTCAGCATTTAGTATTGCAGTCGTCAGGATTGCGTGTGTGTGTGTGTGTGTGTGTGTGTGTGTGTGTATACAGTCATTAGTTTAGGCAGGTTTGTTTAGAGTATATCAGTATTTTTTTATGTCTGTATTAGCTCGGTTTGTTTCTTTGTAAACCATAAGTTTTTTTTTCTGTAGCTCTTTTATTGATTCTAATAGTAGTTCTTTCTGTTTCATTTATTACTTTCCATGAGGTGTAAATATATTAACCATCGTGGTTTATTATTGCATTTATACTTTACTTGCAATATTGTGATTATTTTCTTTGTTCTGATTTACTTAATTTCAGATGGATAAATGACATAGGCATGTATTACCCCTTCATGTCTGTTTATATGTCTAATACTAATATTGGATGACGTATTTCACACCTTCTACATAATGAATAATTGTTTGGTGTCATATTCTTGATAAACGTCATAATGAAAAAATTCGCTTGGTATTGGTAAAATACATCTGTCGGAATAAATGTTACTAAGCAGTTCGATCAGTGTCAAATATTTCCATTATGAACTGGGGATTGATGAATAACCCTCAATATATATAGATTAGACATCATTTGAATTAGAAGTCAGACTGTGAAGCGGTGGAAATGCAATGCATCACTGGGAGGTAATTGGGTGAGGTTCATTTTCTTTATATGCATTGCAAAAGTCGGTTTGAGGAAAAAAACTCACCGTTTTTTCCTCTATCCAACATTGATTACTTTGTGTTGGGTTATGTTAGGTTATTATAATAAGTCAATCAAATTCGTGGCAAAGAGCTGTGATGGCTATTAAGCTGTATGGGTATGTGGTGGAGTGATTCGAGATCCTTGTTGGGAGAGTCGTTGTCAGGGCTGGTGGCGATAGTTGAATCACCTAGAAAAACTTTGACAGCAGGCGAGAACCGTGGGTCTGAGACGAGCTGACATGTCCACTGCCGGCATTGAAAATAATAAGACAACACTGAGACTTTGGTGCCAGAGGGTATAGAATCTGGAAATCTGAAGGATACATGACCAAGATGTGGCGGCCCAGGAAAGCCACTGGATGAAGGTAGAGCCAGACACCAGAAACTAACAGTCAGTCTCCTATTACAAATGATATCTCTCAAGGAACCAGCTGCAATTGCAGGATTGGGACAAAAACAGTTCGGAACAAGCTTCACAAGTCAGGGGTTCATATAGAACCTCAGCAATAAGGGAAAGCGAGGATCTGTCATCGGGGAGCAAGACAGGCATTTGCTCAACATGTTAATGTCGGTCTGGAATACTGGGGGCCACGTGATCTTGGTGACGAAAACCTTTGCACTGCTGGCGATGTGACAACACGAATGCGAGTCTCAAAACATATACGAGGTGGCTATAAGTGGGCGTCACCTGTACAGTGTGGGGGAGATGACAGAGACACGAGGACGTGTCACCTTTGACCAATATCTTGTGAGATTTTGGAGGAGGTGATGGAGCCCTCCGTACGCGAGTCTGCTGTTTCATCCCCGTCCACACCTCACAACCTTATGTCTGTAAGCACTGTGATTTATATCTCAATTTCTCTGAACATCAGGAGACGGTCGTTTGAGAGATACGGGTTTTGGTTTATGTTTCTGATTATATATCAACGGGATTGTCCCTCTTGTTTCGTTGTTATTTATCAACATTGTCCGCTTGTTTTGTTTATTTTAATTAAGAATTATTCTTAAATTTTCAGGCAAGTTGTTTTTTAATTAAGAAAATCTTCAAACCAAAAGATTCTGAAATTTAAAATCTGATTTTTCTGAAAAAAAATCTGAAATTTCAAAAGCATTCTGAAATTGGTCCAGGAGTGTGGTGTTTGGGAGAGATGGCAGGTGACTGGTGTGTGTGGGCGTGGTGTGAGTGGTCATGGTGAGTGTGGGTGGTGTGTGGGTGTGGCCCCGCTTGGAATGTTGTGTGTCGGAATGGTGAAGCCAAACCGAACCTGGGCAAAGTGTGTGTGTGTTTGTGTCTTAGGTCTGTACATAGAGGTGATCTTATTTACACCTGCATGAGTACTGTGGTGTAAGGCAGTATGTCTGGCCATACACTTTACATATAAGGTTATTCACCTCTGCATGAGAAGCAGTCCAAGTACATTGACTAGCTACTAGGTACAAAACGTTGGCTATAGTGTTAATATATCAGGTATCATGTCATCACAGATAAGTGTGTGCCATTTACACAGTGTGCTGTGCTTGGATCTGTCCCTAAAAGGTTCGAGGTTTCTCAAAGTTTAGGACGTATTGTTGGTGTGTGTGTGACCATATGTATGTTATTTTGTGTGGGGGGACGGGCGCTGTGTGTGGGGGTGGGCGTTGTACGTGTGGGCAGCGGTTGTGTGTGTGTGGGGGCGTTGTGTGTGTTTGGGGTGGGTGTTGTGTGTGGGGAAGGTGTTGTGTGTGTGTGTGGGGAGGCGGGTGTTGTCTGTGTTTGGGGCAGGTGTTGTCTGTGTTTGGGGGCAGGTGTTTGTATGTTTAAGGGTGTTGTGTGTGGGAAGAGCATTGTGTGTGGAAAGGCGTTGTGTGTGGGGGGAGACTGGTGTTATGTGTGGGGGGTGACGGGCGTTGTGAGTGTGGGGGCAGGTGTTTTGTGTGTTTTTGTGTGAATGGCATCATGTTTTTGTGTGTTTATTAATTTTAAGTAATTAATTTTGCCACGTACAGCAGCCTAATTGTTATGCACCTGTACTCTATCCTGTGGGCAGTAGTGCAAAGGATTACAGAGTAGGGGTTCTCGAGGGTCAGTATATCTTACCCCGTGGTCAGGATATTATGGCATTGAATGTTGCAGAGTATTTCAAATAAATTCTTTGTTTAGTTCTATACATAAAGGGTAACTTATTCACAACTGCGTGAGTACAGGTGTGAGCAGTATGTCTGGCCTCACGCTTTGTTATTCACATTCACGTGAAGGTGTTCAAATACATTGTGTGTTTGGTTCTTTACATGGGGCTGATATAGCTACTAAATGCAAAATAAAGTGGATACAATCTTAATATGTCGGCTATATTGCTTAAGGGATAAAGGTATGCCATTTCGCACAGTGTGCTTGGACCTGTC